ATGACAGAAAAAGTGTGTCTCCACGCGTTCATTCAATTAAATGTCGAAGCGGACACGTACGACATGTTATCGTAACTAAATTTTTATTATTTGTATAATACATTGTTACGCAATAAATATGTATATGAATATAGTACAAACAGAGAGAAACCTGAAAGAGGACCGTCGCGCATAACTGCCTTCTGAAGAAGTCGATGTAAACTACAATATCTATTTTTTGCGGTGCTCCTGATGGAAATAAATCGCTGAAATCGTTGAAGTAACTAAAATCTATCAAATTAATATTCAGGATTCTCTCTGCTTGTATACACAGTCAGATATTATTTAGATTATTTTTACCTTTTACTGTACCTTTTATTATAACTCTCTATACATTCAATGATACAATAATAATTGTTTACAATGTATAATTATAAATGTTGTAATGCAAAGTATAATAAAAATTATATTATTGAAGCTTAATAAAATTTAGTAATGTAAGATTATACGAAAACGTCGAAAATACATATAACACAAATTTTTCTAAATCCATATTTAATGAAATATTGAGAAAAGCGAAATGAAATACTAACAACAATTAGATTGTATTTATTATTAATTATTAACTTGCGATCATAAGACTTATTAATATCGCGATAAAAAGTCATAAATAAACTTAATGTGAGTTGCCACTGCATCTACTGAATCATATCGTCATTTTATAGTAAAACAATCGTTATGTTTTACACTGTATAGTGTTTATATAATTTATCAAATTGACACGATATATTGTGTTAAATTTAATTATCATTTTAGTAAAAAATAACGACATATTTAGTAGGAACAGTGAACGATTCACATTAGATTAAATTTGACACTATAGATTTAACAGTAAACCATACTTTTATACCGAAAAATTTATTATATAAAATTTAACAATTTTTATTTCACTTTATTTTAATTATTAATATCTCGTTAATATTAGGGTATCCATTCTTATATATTTTATATATTTCGAATTTTTTGTACCCACACATTTTTAACTAAATTCATATGTTCACGATAACATTATTAAAAGAATATAAAACATTTTGGTAAAAATTATTTAAACCGACAAAAATCAAAATTTGTTAAATACAATCTCTATAATATCTGCATGTATTGTATTTCTCATAGAAATATATATACATATATATTTCTCATAGAAATATAAATATATATATATATATATATATATATAAATTAATAATTAATCCCAATAATATTCTAGAATGGCGGGATGTCCAATACTTAAAAATGATTTTAAAAATAACAGAAAATTAAATATACACGTTCGTAACCATATTTTTGTTAAGCAATCGCAAAAAAATAAAATTATTTGTATAAAACTTAAATTTATTTATTTCATAATTTAAATTTAAACAAATAATTATTATATATCTATATTAATTATGCAATACTAAATTCTTATTGTCATTAAGACAATCTTTAAACAAATTATTAACATTATTATTAGTGGGAGAACATTTAATAAAATTAAGAAAGCGAAAAATTATATCTTAAAATATATCACTGAATGAATTTCGCAAATTGATTTTAAAATATATAGCAATTGTCATCAATGTATCATTGAATCATTAGTAAAATTATTATTTTCAAGAACTGATGAGAAAATTTGGGATTAATCCTGTACAAAAATCTCGAATGGGATCATCAAACTAAATTTTGCGAATGGATTTTACAGAAATCGATGAAGAATACTCTCCATGATGAAAATAATTACGACTTTCTATCAATTTCATACAAACTACGCATTCACAGGCATACATCTGACGCCTGTGAGAGACAGCGATAAGGTCTTTGCATATAATAAATCAATTACTACGATATACTTGTAATTCTATAATGTTAAAAATATAAATGAAAAAGCAAACAAAAAGTTAATATTTAATCTCAATCATTGCCTCAGTCAAAGCTCCAATTTTTACTGATTTAATAAATTTGTATACTAAATACAAAGAAAAATTGATGATTATTCTAAATATCAAATTTTTAATTATAAATCACTCAACATTATTAATGATATTTTGATATTCAAAATAAATCTAAATTTAAAAAAGTATTAAATTAAATATTTATTAAACTCGTTAAATAAAAAAATAATTTTTATTATTATTCGATTTCGTATAATTTACATCAATAACGCAACAATAAATTTGATTTACTATGACAAGATAAATGCTACATGTATTGAATAAATATGTATATTCAATACGGATATAAACATTCCAATAAATGTATAATTTATTAGTAATTATTGCGCAAATTACAAAAGTAAACATGATGGCATTTATCTGGACATAGTTACATAAATTTTATATTACGTAATACTATCATATACATATACATTTATTTATACTTAAGATATACTTAAAACAGAAATAATGCTGCCATCAAGGTTTCCATTCAAGAATGGAAAAGCATTTGGACGATATTGTCTCAGAAATGTTAAAAGTTGCAAGTTAATCAGGAATTGATATACTACATGCTATTTGCAATAAAATATAACCGAATGACTGGATAAAATCTATATTCATACCAATACAAATTATAGACATGAAGGAACGCAAAAACCAAATGCAGCAACTACAGAACTGTCGCCCTGTCTCACATACAAGCGAGGTGCTGTTATGAATCATTAATAAGAGGCTTACAACATTCATTTATCTACAAATACCGGAAAAATAGGTCGGATTTATGCCTGTCAAAGGCATAAGGGAACAAATCCTAAATGTTTGCCAAATTATTAAAAAATTGAGGGTATTCAATACACCAGAATATCTCTGTTTTTTTTAAATTACCAAAAGGTCTTCGACTGTGTTAAGTAGAAGAAGCTCTATAATCATATTATGATAATGCTCGGTGTCCCCACTCATTTTGTAAGTCTAATTCGTAATCTTTACACATCCAACGAAGCTAAAGTCAGAGTAAACAACCAGCAGACTGAATCCTTCAAAGTCAATAAAAGAATAAGACAGGGATCATATCACCTGTTTCAATCCTGTTCAATATCTACGGAGAGTGGATAGTACGCGAGGTCATAAACGGATAAGGGTGTCTTCATAAATGGAAAAAAGATACACAATCTGAGATACGCAGACGATATGACGTTGCTGGCTGTCTCGGAGGACGAAATAGTAGAACAATTGAAGAAAGTAGAGAAGACAAGTGAAAAGTTATGGCCTCAAAATAAATGCGGCAAAAAGTAAAATACTGGTCGTCAACAGAGCAAATTAAAAGGGAAATCACAACATGACAAGAAGATGGAATTGAGACCGTTGGGAGTCTAATATACTTTGGGGACCGAATAATTAATACCGGCGATTATGAAGGCAAAATTCGACGTAGAATTACATTTACTAAAACAATAGCCAAATTACCGAGCATATGGAAGAATAGAAAAATATCGAAATATATCAAGATACGACTCATTCGATCTCTGGTTTTTTTCCATAATGACATACGCTTCAGAAAGTTGGATCATAAGGACAGGCGGCACATCGACGCTTTCAAAATGTTCTGCTGGCAGAGGCTGCTGAGGATCATGGATAGAAAGGCGCACGAATGCATCAATCCTAATAAAGCTCAGCATCAAGGAGAGGAGCTAAACATAACCATCAATAAAACTATATTAAAATACTTCGGCCACATCATGCGATGAGGAAACGACGCCCATGAAAGGCTTATGATGTAGGATAAGATCGAGAGAAGAAGACCAAAGAGCCGATCCCTCTCTAGATACATTGACAGGGAGGCTAACTGATTCTGCAATACGCAATTGCACGCACAATGCCATGGAGAGAGATCTATGAAAAGACATAGTAAATAACTGTCCATCATAGATGCTGTCACGATGCCCGGATTCGACTGAACAAGAAGAATACATTTATTTATAATAAAATTAATTACAATATTAATGCGTTACACACTTTGCATATGTATAGAATTTTACAAGAAATTAAGTTTAATTTCAGGGGAGCTCAAAATTCAATGAAATTCAAAATTTTATATAATTTGGTTTATTTTTATATTTAATAATTAAAACGGCATGCTGATATTATTAAATAAAGTTTAAAATTAATTAAAAATTTTATTTAATTTTTAATCCTTTTTTTCCAATTATCGAGTATATACATATGGTGTCTATGTATCCTTACCTACATGTCACATAGTTTATTAGTTAGTAATATATTATGTAATATCTTTTAGTTTTAATATATACTTATTTTTTTAAATAAAATTTAATTACCCGATCGCGAAATTCATGTAAGTGTTATTCTATTTGTAATAATTTAATTTTTTAATTTAAAATGATTGTACGAGTATTTATCCCTACCTATCCCTACTTATTCATACTTGTCCTATCTA